CTAGTAAACTTTTACATGTTTTTAAAGAAAACAAATGTGTGGGAAAAAATGTTGTTTGTTTTTTGCCAAACCAAAGTATTAATCTGCCCTGGTAGGGAAGTTTCTTGGCCATGCCACTGACTGCAATTTCCAAAGTGTCATCTGTATTTTTCAGTCCTCCCATGTATAAAGAATCCAACAGCAGTTTCCTTCAAGGTTGAGTAAATTTGAATGTTTAGGGGGCTGTAGCCACAAGATTTGGCAAACCATTCACTTGTCATGTTAATAAAAAAGGAATTGTTTCTGCCTCTTTAAGCTAGTAGCTAAATGAAGGGCTTGAATCAGCTGGATTTTAATCATGAAGTCCAGATTCTTTTTCCTTGCAAGTGAATAATTTTGTGGTGTTCAGAGTTTTCATCTGATTTAATTTTGTTTAGAAGAAGAACCAGGCTTCTTCCCTGTTACCAACCCCTGAATTTGCTCACTTGTTATGCTGTTCAAACCTAATCGGTTTTCTTGATCTTAAAATGAAAATCGAGCCTTTCTGCACTTTTTATTTCCCATAAGCAATTGAATTGAAAAGTGGGCTGGTTTGGGTATTTTTTTTTCAACTCTTTAAGTTGTGTTTTATAGATGGCATGTTAGCTTTGAGGGCTGTTTCATGACTGGTAAAAGCTTATACCTTGTAAAATCCATAGCTCTTAATGCATTTTGTTTCTCACTTCAAACACAGTACTGAAAGAAGAAATACTAGAACATTTCATGGTTGTGCTGTTTCAACAATTCAGATTCTTTTTTCATGGTGATGCTGATTTTGTAGCTCCAAATGCTTGGGCTTAAAATTTGATTTCCTAAATTCCTTAGTCTGAAAATGTTGAAACTTAGAACAAGCTGTAATACACCCTGAAGAACTGTCTTGCTTACATGATTACTTTTCCTCTACCATGGAGATTACAAGAAACTAGATCAGATAAATGATTATATTATCTGTGGAATGCAAAAACACTGGGTAGATCACATTTATTCCTGAAAACAGCTTTCCCTCACTCTTTTTCTCCTGATCTGTGTTAATGTTTAGGAAGTATCACCCTTGGCCAAGCCCTGATTGATGTTGGGTTGCAATGTGGAAATGTGGTGTAAGCCACCATAAATATCAGTGTATTTTAGCAGAATATCTCCTTGTTATGAATTATCCTCATTCTCTGAAGAAAGAACTTTTCTCCTTGCCTTCATCTCTTGGGGTGATGGGGAAATTGAGACACTCATGAGAGGCCAAGGTGTGTGTTCCTCCAGGAGTAAAGAAAGTAAAAAGTGAAATAATCAGATCTCTGGTTCCTAAAAGTCAGTTTAGTTCACATGGGGTGACTTTGGTCACAAATAGATCCTGGGTAACCACAAATTTATTGATTAGGTGAAGAAATTGTTCCCTGTGAGGGTGGGCAGGCCCTGGCACAAGGTGCCCAGAGAAGCTGGGGCTGCCCCTGGATCCCTGGGAGTGCCCAAGGCCAGGCTGGACAGGGCTTGGAGCAGCCTGGGACAGTGGAAGGTGTCCCTGCCATGGCAGGGGTGGAACAAGGTGATTTTCCAAGGTCCCTTCCAAGTTCCCATCGAGATTCCCATCAGATTTTCAGTGCAAGCCTGCAGGATAAGCCCAGAGCTGGATGGTGCTTTGCCTGCCAAGTTGTTCCATGGAAATCAGGAGGAATATTGAAATAGGAAGGGCTGAAAATGAGCAAATGTAGTGGAGAGTGAATACAGCAAAAATGACCTGTGTGGGACTCATTCAGTGAGCCAAGCAGAGCTGCCCCGTGCCTGACAGGTCTGAATTTGACACAATCCTTTGTAAACAATAAATCAATGCAGGTTGTTTCTGTGAGTGCATAAAAGGTGTGAGAACTGTAATTTATTTTATAATAAATACTTGTACTGAGCAAACAGTGAATGCAGCTATTAGAGACTTTCTCAAATAAGTGATTTTAGGCTGCTGAGTGCCAGCTACTGATGTGGTAGTTGAGCTTTTAAAATGAAAAGCCTGAATTCCTTTTGAAGATTCCCCTGAATGCTGTTGACACTTGTGCTAGGAAAGAATACAGAGTGATTTAATTCATTACTTTACTTAAAGATAACATTTATGGTTGCAGCATTACCCTCTATCGATGTGCAGACTGCTAGGCTGGAGGTGTTTATTTGAATTTTTTGGAAGATGTTGCATCCTTTTATTAGGTGTGCTGGAAGAGAAAAAAATGTAGGAGGGAAAGGGGAGTTCAGGATCAGTCAGCTGGTGTGTCTGGATACAAGGACAAAGGGACAATTTTGCCTTTGGCTACAGTTTGACACTTTACTGGATTCAGTCAGAATTATCTGCGCACGCTGAAGGGCACAAATGTCATTTTTATGGCATTCTATATCCTCAGTTGCTTTTTTTTTGTAATTGGCTGTGTATCTCAGTGCTGTAATAGAGCTCTTAAATCCTGACCCTGGCCAAAATGGGACACAAATACCAGTATTAATATTTCTCTCCCTTTTAAATGCAGGGTTGAGCCTTTTTACCTTGTTTTTCCAGCACCATCTTGTGTTTCCCTGGAAGCCACCCACCTTTCCTCTGGCTTGGGGTGCTCCTCTGCTTTACTGCTCTTGGTCCCCTCTCCCCTTGGTCCATTGGCCTCGGATATCCCTCTGTTCCTTCCCTTGCTCCTCTGTCCTCTCCCATTTCCCAACCTCTGGCTCCCCTTATCTTGCCACTTTCAAGGTGGCTGAAGGTCTTTGGATGGGTCCAGACTCCCTCACACTTCCACCCCTTCCCACTCATCTTTCCTCCATCAGAGTCATCTTCCTTTCTGCCAGAAAAATAAAGAGTTTCCCTGGCTGAGCTGAAGCCCCACCTTCTGCTCCCAAAGCCAGGCACTCTTCCTCTCCCAATCCCAGGGGTTTTTGTTTCTGAGGCTTTCACTCCTCTCAGGTGCTGTGTTGTTCCAGACCTTTGGCTGATACCTGGCACCCCCTGGTTGGGTGGAAATGCAGGGATTTTATTGTTCTCCCCTCCAGAGAAGGAGAGGAAGCTGGATTTGCTTCAGCTGAGGCTGGCTGGGACATTCCCAGTGTGTGACATAACCCAGACATCATTTACTGGCTCCATAGAACCTGAGGCATTCACACATAAATTGAGCCCGAATGCAGAAGCTTATATAAAGAGGATCCTTAAACTATCCTGTCCAAAAATATTTGTGAAGTGCTGGGAAGCATCTTTTTAGTGTGCTGGGATGTTCTCTTCCCACTTATCTCTGTTACAGATAATACAGTTGGGTCACTTGCATGGGCTTTGGGACATCTTTTTCACGTGAAATGCTGTCATTTCCATAAATTGGTTAATAAGCTTTTTGGGCCTGGAGTCTAAAACAAAATATGTTTCACAACTGCAGAGGCTAAAGAGGTGGAAAGTGTTATTGCAGGCTGATGTTAATGTGCCCAGGTCAGTCTTGTGGCTGCTCCCTTGAATCTTTTTTTGCCCAGGCAGTGGTTGTTCAGTTCAGTAAGTAATGACCATTATTTATTATTAATTCAAAACGTGGTGTGCAGGATTTCTGCCCAGTGTAAGAGCACATTATCTTCTCCTGCACAAGAAAACACATGTTAATCTGTTTTCCATTATTGTCCAAAAGATTTTTTTCAGAATGCAGTTCAGATTGCCCCAACAACATTAAAGGCTGTAATTAAAAATAATTTTCCATTAATTTATATACATGCACATTTACTTATTATGATCTTTTTCTGCATTTCCTTAAGTGTAGACCCAAAAGCCTAAAATGCTGTTGAGGAATAAATCAATATTCACTGTAATGATCCAGTGTGGAGTGTGCCAGAACCCTGATGTACTTCAATTAACCATCTTTCCTAACAAACACCTGCACAGGGAAATGGATCTTCTGTGGGAATCAGCAGAAAATCAAACCCTGACTTTTCTGCATGGGCAGAGGAAGGGAATTCCAGTATTTCACAGCTTTTACTGATAATGATCTGCTACAGATTAAAAACAAAAACCAGACATTATGGTGTTGGCAGATTGCAAAAGGACTTGCTGGTAAAGCTGCTGTTCAGAGGAGATGAGGACAGTGTTTATTGCTTCCATATGGTCCAGGCATACAAGACAGGGAAAATGTCTGGGGAGAATAATATGTCTTATTTTATTGATACAGAACATTCTTTAGGGCTGTCAGCCCTTTTTCCTGGTACCTTTCCCAGGTGAGAGCCTGAGTGGGAAATACTTGCCCATGACTGAGCTTGAAGATAAGAAAACATTGCTTATGGATTGGCTCCATTTGTGTGAGTGAAGTATTAGAAATGCTGATTTTTAAGGGGTCAGGTCTGGGAGCTGCTCCCTGACAGGGGGATCTGAAGGATCTCTTTTTTTTCCTTGACTATTTGTATAGTTTTCAACCCTTTGACTTTCCAATTCAGCTTTGCAAAGTGCATTAGGAGTCTAAATTTAGAGTTTGATAAATTCTTGTAAAAAAAACCCCCTCCTTTCCACGTAATGTAAGATTTAATTTCTTGGTCTCTTTGACCTCTTGATTTTTTTTTTTTAAGCCAAATTAAGAACCATACTTGTGGGCACACTGAAGCAGAAGAGTAGCTGGGTGCTTTTGTATATGTGGGGAGTTGACTGAAGAACTGCAGTCTTTGACTTCTCCATAATTATCACTTGGGAAGCATCTGGAAAGATGACACTGCCTGGAATTTTGGGGAGTAAGACCTTCAAATATCCAATGAATATGCTCAGCTATCAATTTGCCTATTGCATTGCAAAAAAAGGGCAGCAAGCAAAGGAATTGGAGATTTACAGACTGACCCAGAAAACTCCAGAGGATCTCACCAGTTGGGAGATGAGCTGCTCAGTCCTACTGTGTCCTTTTACAAATAAATATTGACAATTGGTGGTGTTTGTGTGCCTGTTGCTGTGCCTGAGCTCGTGCAGCAGCTCTTCTCTGTGTGATAACAAAACTTCTGCTCTCTTGTTCTCCCAGGGCTGATGAAATCGAGATGATCATGACAGACCTTGAAAGAGCGAATCAGGTAGGATTTTAAATGAGTTCCCCATAAAATTCTAAGTGTGACTTTGATTATTCTTTTTTAATTCTCTTTTGGATTTCATGACAGTTCTTTTATATGCACTTTGCAGTCATAACTGCATGGAGTAAGAAAATATGCAAATTTCAAGCAAAATACAGCTCTTTAGGGATGCTCTGTAAGGATTGTGGGCACAGTAGAGCAGTGCTTGCCATATATTTACCTTCTAATAATTTAAACTTACATTTCCCACTGTAGTTATTCTTGGCTCTGTGTTTCTAAATCTGTCATGTTGGCCCCTGCTCAGACATGCAGGTAAATGGTTTGCCCAAATTAAAGGGTCTCTGCCCTGTGGCTGTGGCAGGGCTGCAGGTTTTGGGGACTTCTCCAGACTTATTTTCCCCCTTCCTTTTCTGCTGTGTTTTATTGGCATATTAATTTTTAGCAAGGGTTCAGACTGTTCTTTCTGTGCAGGACCACAGAGAAATTGCCATTTGTTCCTGCAGATGTTAATTTGGGCTGTGAGATGTCTCTCTGGCCATCCCTCACAGTGCACACACTCCTGACACGAGTACCAGAAATACTGAGTTTTAACAAACCCAAACCCAATGGCCATGCAGGGAACCCTGTGAGTGAATGAGTGAGGTGGTGGAGGAGATGTGTATGGCCAGGCAGGATTCCATGACAAAGGAAATTCCACAAGCCACTGGGTGGTGGCTTCACAGAAGGAAACCTCAGCCAGGCATTTGCTTATCAGTGAGTTTCATTAATCCCTCTGCCAGGTACAACCAGAGATTGCAATCTTGAATCTCCCAGGCTATGGATGTATAATCCAGCTGAAGTTTAGCTTGACAGCAGCTCCTTTCCAGGAGGAATGGTGGCAGCTCCTTCCCTTCCCTGGGTCCTGCTGTCAGCAGTGGTTGTGTGAGCCAGACCAGGTCACTGATCCTGTTGAAAATGTACCCCCTGCTCCAGCTGCTGTTTTGTTTTGTCTTTTCCCTTTTGCCAGATCAGCTTTCAGCCCCCACACTCCCCTGCTGCAGCTGCCAAGTTACAGCAAGTGCTGTCGGCCTTTATATTAGTTCTCAGAAAACTGGAAAAATACAAATCACAGAATCATTTCCACTGGAAAAGCCCTCCAAGATCATCTGTCCAACCATCACCCAGCACTGCCCAGGCCACCATTCACCCATGTCCCCAAGTGCCACATCCATGGGGCTCTGAAATCCCCAAAGGGATTGCAACTCCACCCCTGCCCTGGGTGCCAAGGCTGGACAACCCTTCAAATGAAGAGATTTTCCCTGATATCCAACCTAAACCTCCCTTGGAGCAGCCTGAGGCTGTTTCCTTATGTCCTGTCACTTTTACCTGGGAGCAGAGCCCAACCCTCACCTAAAGCCTCCTTCCAGGGATTTGTAAAGAGAAATTCCCTTTTCCCCAGGCTGAGCCCTCCCAGCTCCCTGAGCCACTCCTGGTGCCCCAGACCCTTCCCCAGCTCCGTTCCCTTCTCTGGACACACCTCCAGCATCTTAATGTCTTAATGAAGCCAAAATCAGATTTGTAAGTTGTTGAGTTGATTATTTAGTCAGTAAAAGCAAACTGGTGTTTGCACAGTGGGTTTTTAGTTCTGTCAAAGAACTTTTGTAGACAGCATTAAATATTTATGAAAGTGCTAGTAATTATTTGAAAATATGTAGACTTTTTAGAAATTATGTAGGTGTTAAAAATGTTTTGGTAGAATTATTTTGTGATTTTTGCAAAGGCAGTACATTTTGCAATGATTTAGCCAGTAGCTGTTTTTTTCCCCTTAGTCTAAAGGGGGCTGTAGTTAAAGAACAAGTATTTCTGAATTCCTCATTGCCTCCTAAAATGGATTATACATATTTATCCAGAAATGCTGTTTTTCTGCCTAACTGGTACAAAGCTGCAATGTGGGTTGGGGTTTTTTTTTACTTTGTTGTGGTGCTTTTCTTGTAATTAGGTAAAATTTATAACTGCTTATGTGCATAACCCTTAGTTTGGTTGTAATTCTGCAAAATTTGACTGTACATAAAATCACAGTGCCGTTCCTCTGAGCTGTTGGAAAACCAGAGGAGGGGATCCTGTCTCCCCTTTCTCCATCTCCCTATCCTCCTTTCCCCCTCTGACTGCTGTGGTCCCAACCCTCCCAAAGAGCAGCTGGATAAAGCAGCCCTGGGAGCTTCTCCATGGTCTCCTCTGGAACTGTTCAGCAGCTCCGTGTCTTTCTTGTGCTGGAGCCCCACGAGGGACACACAGGGACTCTGTGGCCCTAAAAGAGCTGGAGAAGGGAAGGGCAGATTCACCTGGAGAGGAGCAGGAGCTGCTGCAGTGGCTCAGCTCATTTGCTGAAGCATGCCCATAGAGCCTTTGCCTTTATAAAACACTTAGATGAATTATATCTAATCTTTGCAGCAGCAATTCCTGTGTTTTACCTTTTCATAGTCGGAAAAAAAAAATACTAGAAGAAATTAAATCTATTGCACAGGCCAGAAAGTGAGTTTGCATCAGGCTGAAGTGTTACAATTGCAGAAACAAGTACTTAACCTAATTATGTATTTAATAGTTAAATTAACATTTCCTTTTACCATTTCAGTAAGTGCTCATTCCCCATTATTAAGGCTACCTTTAAAGAGTAGGGCTCAGCACGACTTCCTCTTTGCTCAGGGACTGCCTTGCTGATGTGGATGTGATGTTTTGCTGCTCTGGAATTAGCACTGACCCAAATGACTGGGATTCAGAGTACAGATTTACATGTTTCCAGTAAAAATATGATAAAAAGAAAGTGGTGTAAGTTTTTATATATCTGACATTTCTTGAAAATGTCTTTCCCAATTACTGCCCTTTTTAAATTCAGAGCTGGCACTTCAGAACTTCCCTTGCTGTTGTGAGCACTCCTCTGTAGCTCCTGAGAGGTGGGGAGTGCCTTTTCCTCTCCAGTTCTGCAGGGACCTGACCTTGGTCCAGGTGTCCATAAAAATGGTCAAATCCACAGGGACAGAGGTGATGTTGTGGCTCCCAGCCCCGTGTCCTGATGGGTGAAGCAGGGACCATTCTTACCTTTAGCTCCATCACCTCTCTTCTCCCAGTGTTTTTTCTCACCTGGATCCTTAAGCTTTTTCATGCAGGAGCTTTCTGGGCTACTTTGCTGTGATACCAACCCCAGAATAAATTACTGGCTCATCAGAATAATTGCCTTTAAATGCCAGTGAGCTTTGCAATTTTCTGCTCAGAGAGAGGGAGGGGTAATGACCCCAAAGCTCCCTCCCTCTCCATTGTGTCATTAACACAAGGTGTAAACTGAATTTTCCCACAAAACATAATAGTGGGAGAAATGATTCCCTGGCTGGGACAGAGGAGGGTGCTGGAGATGAAGGCTGCTGACAGCCCCTTCTTCCTCAGCTGCTCAGGACCATTAATCCACGACCTTTAGTGGGATTTTGTGGCAGGGCAGGTCCGTTCTGACTGGCAGAGATCAGAGTACACCAAGTTACAGCTTCTGTGAGGGTGCCATGGGTGTAACCCTTCCCTTTGAAAGTCCCAAGAGGTTTTTTTATATAAAAAAGGGCAAGAATAGTGCATTAAACTGTCTGCTGCAGCTGCAGCTGCCTCAAGAGGAGCTGTCAGCTCCTGCCATGGAGCTTTGGAGGGGTAAAAGTTCTGAAGCCAAAACCCCGTCTGGTTTGGTGGTAAAAGATGCAATTCCATCCTTTCCCAGGCAGCAGGAGAGCCGTGGCTGCAGAATCCCTGTCCATCCTCTCCTCATCCCCCAGCTGTGGCTCTGTGCAGGAGCTGAGGGCACAACAGAGCCAAGTACAATAGCAAGGGCTCCTTTTCACTTTATTAACCCAGCAGCTCAATGACAAAACTTGATAACATAACCCACCAGTTCCCCCTGCATTTCCATGAAGATTTAATAATGCTGTAGTTTGGTGAAGGGACTCGTTTTATTAAGATTTCATTTTGCACAATAAATCACTGCATATTTTCTGATATGCTACGAAGTATAAGAATAAATAATTAAAACTAAAATACCCGTACTTGTCAAAATAAATGATTTATCATAGTTTGGGATACAGCATCTTTGAATTTTTTATTGTTGGATTCCCAGAATATTCTAATTTCCAATCAGGGAAGTTAATGAAGCTCCAGTATATATATTTCTGCATTCACAGCAGTTACACTTGTGTGACTGTTTATTTTAGACAAATATTTATGGTTAGCACTTTCCTGTACCTTTTCAAGTTTACACCTTTCCAGTGTTTATGGCAGCAAAGTCACGAATCTTTTGGGACGACAAATTTATTCAAACAAATTATTGTTCTATTTCTGTACTTCATCCAGGAACAACCCAGTTGTGCCTGAGAAAAAGAGGTTTTTGTTGGAAAGAATAATTCCTAGGTTGTGAAAACAGAAATATTTAAATGTATTTTAATTTTTAAGTTTATTAAAAATATTTAATTTTTTCAAATTACAGCAGAGCTCATCTTAAGGTTTTAATACTGAGTCTAAATTTCTGGCTTTGTGTCACTGATGTGTCCAGATCTCTTTTCTGCCTTTATACATTGATCACCTGGTTAAAAAAAAATTAAAAATCTAATGGGCTTTGTATTTTGAGCTTCCTGTAATGAAAAAGCTTCTTTTTCACTTTTAAAACAAAAAGAGAAGAACTTTGGTTAGGGTTGTTTGATCCTGGGTTATTGTATTTTTATCTGAAAGAGAAGGATCTAGATTTGAAAAGCAGACTCAGGTATAGGTATTGTTAGATTTTGACAGTGGTAAGAGAAAGAAAACGTGAGACTTTTGTGTGTGTGTGGACTACTTTGTGTAAGCTATAGAAGAAGAATTAATTTATTTTTTCTTCTGTTATCCCTTTGGAAAAGCCATATGTTCCCATTAGTTTTCTTTCCATCTTGATAGTGCTCCCAGATTTCTACTTCTTATTTTTTCTGGGGAAAGAAAGTCAAATACATAAACTACTAATACCA